GTAACTACAATATGGGAAATATGTCTGATTTTTTACAGAATTCCTATCTGCAAATACCGCAAGAAAGCTGTCACCGAAACAAAAGCAGTACAAGTTATTTGCTGTGACGTATCACGACGGGAAGGAAGCGACAAACGGCCATTATGTGACGGACTGCTTCCATGTTGGTTATGGTACCTGGGTGAGGTACGACGATACCTCCGCGAAAGCGATATCGGAAGGTACTGTTTTAAGACCAGTACCTCCCCGAGTACCATACCTATTGTATTACCGTCGGTGTGATACAATAGGTAATAATACTCATAGCAAATAATACCAATGTATCGGTGTAATATATTCTTGTTGGTATTTTGTACATAAAACTGTTGTATATAAAAGAATTTGTTGTCTATTGAAGATAAAAAAGAGAAATATTTCTGTTTAAATTACCGTCTTTCCAAAAAAAAAAAATATTTCTACGGAGGTTGTTGTTACAAGACTATATATAGTTTTCTCGAATTATAGATTATATATATATAGACAGAAATTAAGGCTATAATAGTGTTCCAATTTGAATTCATGGTTTAATGAATCTAAATAACGTTATGTACTATAACTCTATACGTTGCAATTTATGAAGTACTAAGAGACTTTGTGTCCTGTATATATGTGTATGTTTATGATATAGAGAAACACATACATATACAGACAAGAACCTCTCCGTAAAATTAAAATCACGAAGTCTGGAACACCCTATATATCCTTATTTCCAAATATGATTATTATAATCGTAAATTATTATAGTTTCCTAAATACTCCGAGGAAACTAGCAAAAATGTGATAGGTTTTGAAGAATGCTCTTATACGAAACCGTGTGTATAGATTCTAGAAATATAACGATTATACGTAAACTCACGCGAAACGTGAGTTCTAGGTTATTTTTTTATATGATCATCCTGTACAGCGGAATTTAATTCCATTCTTGCCAGTCATTTTTCAATACACGTTACCATTTTTATAGCATTTTCCACGCAATCGCTGTACATAACAAATCGCGGAGTATTCTGAACTAAAGTTCGCACAACATCGTCATCAATGTCTGAAGGTCGACCTGAGCGTGGCTCGTCTTCAAGGTTAAACTGTCCGCGGCGAAATTTCGCAAACCATTTTTCCACAGTTCGTTTAGCTGGTGCTTGATCTTGATAAACCTCTTGAATGTTTTTTACGGCTGCTGCAACGTTTATTCCTTCCCGAAACTCGTAAAGCATAACATGCCGTAAATGCACCTTTTCGACACTCATTTTGAAAGTAATCTTTCTCGAAGCAGTTCGTATCTACACAAATTCTTTTGTTTGAAATGAACGCTGCACACATCACCTTTCCAACGATATGTCTTACGGAGATGGCGGTATTAATGACAAAACTTTACGCCGCTTCTAACGCCATCTATTGCACCTCCGCACGAACTTTTGCACTCACCCAATACATGAAATCTTGACTTGACTGGATCTTGGCTGATAGATCTCTTTCTCATCGAGCACCTGTAAATCATTTCAATATATGGAAAATACTGGCTAGACGAAGCATTGAAAGACTTTATCAAATAAATTTTATGTAATAAAATTATATACTGCGAGTTTTGTATTTAATCTTTACTGAATATGCGATATTCATATATTGTCTTAAACCTGAAAAGTGTTCAAAAAAATTTCTTTATTATTACAATTAAACGTTAAACGATTAACGATTAAACGTTATCTAGCTAATATTTTGTGACTTTATAGTT